CCCGGCCTCCGCTCCGCTGGCCACGCCCCCGCCTGACATCACGCCCGGCCACGTGACCGTCCCCTCCCGCGGGAAGAGGCGGTGCCCGCGGTGAGCAGCGGAGTCCGGTGAGTGTTAGATCGAGCCTTAAACAGCACTTTAAACATGCCTGGCCGCGGACTGCAGGCGGGGAGCGGTGCTTTAACCCTGTACACAACATGCTGCACCTAGGACTGGGTAGGTAGTGAACTGTGCGCAAAGCGCTATGCTGAACGGACGTGCAGCTGGCTGGGCGTGCATGAAATTGGGCATTACACAGAATCAGCTAGGTTGGAAGACAGCTTTAAGATCAATTGCGTAGCACATTGAGACTGCACGTAACATCCTGCACTTGCAGCCAGGCGTTTTGTATTAAGTGCCCGTGCTGCGCTTGGTCGTGCATTAAGTACTGCCTTAGGTGTATATGTATATCTGCGTGTAACATTCTTCACTTGGGGCCAAGCGTGCGTTAAATGCACATGCAACATCCTGCAGTTGAGATTGCATGTGCATTAAATAGTGCATTGAATAGGCACGTAGGTTGGGCATCTGTTAAAAAGAGCATTAAGTGCACATCGAGCATCCTACATTCCTGGCTGATCCCACTGTGCTGCACAACTCAAGCAATGCAGGACAGCCTTTGCCCTGTTTGGCAGGTGCAGAATGGAACCTGCTTTTTAAATCTGGGATAGGTGAGGTGGAGATGAAGGGAGCTGCAGTGTGGGGGGGGGGAGATCCACCTCCATCACTGCTGGTTGGGACTCTGTCAGAGAGGTTTTATGGCCTTGCACAGGGACACGGGGCAACAGACCCAGTGCCCAGGGGTGTGCAGGGAGAGGATGAGCAGGATCACCCTGGTCTCGGTGGCTTCCCAAAGCAGGGATGGTAGTGGGACATTTTGTAAGGTTGCAAACCACGACCAGTGCATGGGGTGAGTGAGTATTAAAGCCACAGTTACAGCTCCGTGTGTCCCTGCTGCTGCATAATCAGTATTGGGGATCCTCAAAGCTGTTGGGGTGGCCCCCCTCCTTGTCTGAATTACAGGATGCATGGGCCATTGTGCAGCTCTTGGGGATCCTCCCCAGCAGGACAAACACCAGGGCGAAAAACTGTAAACAGAGCATGGAAACGTGTCAAACACAGGCCCCCCTGCAAGGGAGATCAGAGGAAAAATGATGCCAAAAGAAACCCCTTTAGGACTGTGTTAGATGGGTCTAACACTGTAAAAATTGGTGGACCATCCCCGATTACCTGGAGTGGGGGTGCATGGAGGGGAGCCAGCAACGCCAGTCCTCTGGATGCAGGCTGACCCCCTGCGTTGGGATGACTTGGCACTTCTTGGGATATAAAAGGCCCGGGGTTAAAGAAAGATCGGGGGAGGAGAAGGAGGTGGATCCAACTCCCTTTTTCACGGCCAACCTTACCTCCACGGGGACACCCGCAAAATATGTGCCTGCCACCCCATTTGCTCTCAATGCACCTCGGAGCTGGCCTCCTGGTCACTGAACAAATGTGTAGGTTGGTAAGAATCTGTGCCTGGTCTGTTCTTTGGTAGCCTTTAATTCTTTCTCTTTCTGGCTTGGCATATCTCTGGATTTTACGTCTGGTTTAGATCTTGTAATAAACTTTATAGTAGTTTGGGGTGTATATGTGTGGCTTACATTCCTTCTCCACCTGGAATCCTTCGATCCCCGGAACAGGGGCACAGCAACAGCCTAGCTGTGGCACTGGCTGGCTTGCATGTGCCAACCCTAGTCCATGCTGGAGCTCACAGGAGGTCCCACCTGAGTCTTGTCTTGGGGTGAATCATTCTAACTCGTTACTGCCTTCTAAACCCTCCTAGACTCCTGATGAAGTCGGGTGGGCTTGTATCCAAGTAATTGTTCTCCAGCTGCAGGATATGACACTGCCAGAATTTCTTATCCTGCAGCATAAGAACAGCCTTGGGATCCTAATCTTGCTGCATGGTACCCCATCACCCCAGCAGTTGTGTGTGTTCTCGCATCTCAGTCCCTCACACTCTCTGAACTTCTCAATCACCATTTTTCCCACTTCCTTAACCTTTCTCAACCCATCCATAACCTATGGGAGACCTGGAGGATCTAGTGGGCTGCCTGTTGCTGTTCATGCTGGACTGTAGTGGGGGAAGGTAGCCCCTCTTCATGCCAGGATGCTGGGGGCTTGGCATGTGCACTGAGCTGCCAGCAGGACTCAGCAGGGAAGTTACGGAGCTCCTGCAGTCCTCTGGGCGGGGGGGCCTTGGTCAAGGACAAGAGTTTTGGGGCAGTGTCACCTAGTATCTAGGTCAGGTACTGGGGTGGCATGAACTCAGATCTTTCACTTTACCACAGGCCTGACAGGGATGCTGCCAAGTGCTGGTGTCCATTACTTTCCATGGGAGATCAACAGCTCAGTCCCAGAGGGGGAGGCACTAAGGACGTTTGGAAGGTGAGAAGGGTACACTGCTCTCCTTGCAGGCCAGGCTTTTCCTTCACTGGCTGACCCCCCTCTGTTTGTTTGTATTTGTTGAATCTCTGCACTACTGAGCTTCCCAAATCAATCATTCCCAGGTTATGCTGCTATGACCTGGCACGGTCTGAAGCCATTCTCACCGCTCAGCACAGCTCAGCTCAGTACCAGGTTTGGGTTGACACCAAGTTCGTGGAGCCATTCCAAGCCCAGCTGGGATCTCGCTACATGGTCCTGGGAGAGGCTGAACACAGGGAAGGTAAATGCTTCAGGCACCAGTGCCCTTTGCTGTTCGCTGTTCAACAGCTTCTTCATGGCTCCCTGTGTGCACCGTGAGACACACTGTCACTGACGTTGGTGTTGGCCAGGGCAGGCCTCTGGTCACACGAGCATGTGATTCAGGGCTGGAGCAGTCTGTCTCTCCCCATCGACCATGAGAAGAACCACCACCATTATTTGGTGAAAATCCGTTGCTCTGGCACAGATTTTTTTCAGAAAAAGAAGCACCTTAGCAGCATTGCTGGGTTGGTGAAACCTGTGCTAGAGCCTTCTGGCATTGCCAGCCACCGTATCATCTTCACTCCAAATGTGGCTGGTTGCAGCAATACCTCACTGTGAGCTGGCTGGGTTGGTCTTCGCCATCCTTGAAAGGCTCTAATTATATCCCTGCCCTCAGACATGGGGTGTGAGGAATGCAGCAGGCTCTGTTGTGTAACAGGGCACCCTGTTGTGCCCTCTCCTGGGGTGCCCTGAGTGTTACTCCAGCTGCACTGTGCTTTGCCTGAGAACCTGATGTGGGCTGGGCCGTGCAGTTGGGAAGCAAATCCCAAGTGTTGTATTGGCCACACCTGGCAACAAGCATTCACATTTGTGCCATTGAAACCCTTGGTGGCATGTGGAAAGCCACACTGCACATGGCATTGAGTGAGTAACCTGCTAAGCCACTGCTGCAGAATTCCTTTATAAAGACATACTACTTCGGTCATCACACCTTAGGAGTGAGTTGTCCCCATTTTACAGGGGTGGAAGGGGAGCAGGCTGAGACGGTGGCTGCGTCACCAAGGTTTGGCCTCTTTTGTGCATCTCTCACCATTTGAATGCTACCAATGAACTGTCAGTTACAGTCAACATTGAGCCTATTCTAAGCCCAGCTTTGTTCTGTCCTCTTCTTGTCTGCATGGAGGCATTCAGAAGTGAGCTTAGACCCATCCCTGATGCTTTTCAGATGGGGAAATCCAAACTTCATCCAGCCACAAAGTAAACAGATGCTGCATGGTAGGCATTGGCATGTCCTAGGCTCAGTGCTCTCCAGTGCAAGCACAGTGTCAGCATTTTGTAGCTAACAGGGCAGAAGGAAAGCATGTCACTAAATTAACCTACTCCTGGGCCTGCTGCTGACGTTGGTGGCTGGTCCAGTCTCCTGCAAGTTCTCAGGCTATGATTATTTGGCCAGCTGGAAACATATGCTGCCTGAGGGAACCTCTCTGTTTGCTTCTGAGCTGCTCCATCTGGTTTTCTTTATACAGAAACTTCATGTTTATTCACAGGTGAGGGTCCCATGGTAAAGGCACGAATATTCACCTGCGTGGAAGGGATGAACATGCCCTTGCTGGAACAAGCCATACAGGAGCAGAGGAAATACTTCAGCGAGAGGCAGGAGCAGAAGATGGGAAAGAACACGTCCTGACAGCAGCTCTAAGACCAGCCACACACTAGTCCTTGCACTGCCATTTGCAACAGCTATGTTAAAAGTAAATTTAGAAGGTGCGATGCAACATACTGGGGTTTGCTGCGGTAAATGGCAAAGTCAAGTCACTATGAGGGAAACACTGCAAGACTGTGTGAATCAGTATGTGCCTGTGGGTTGTCTGTTCATGCAGGTGTCATCACTGAAAATAACCTCTAGGAAGCAGATTTGTTTGTTTAAAAGGGCGGTTAAGGAAAGGGAGCACTTGGGTTATACTGGTCCTTTTGTAATGCAAGGCTTGGAGATGTCAGAAACAGGGGAAGACTCTGAACCTGCAGTTAAGCAGCTCACTCCCAAAGCGCAGTGGCTTACGGGCTGTTGGCAGATAGAGGTGAAGGCCATTAGCACAAAATTCATGAGTGCTGCGTGGCCACAGGTCCATGACTCCATGTGTTTGGTTACCATGACTCAGCTTCCACACAGGAGCATTCCTGGCAAAACACTCCCAGATCTGGGCTGACCAACAAAGAAACAAGAAAAACAAAGAGTTACTATTTCCAGCAGCACTGCCTCTTCAGGTTTTCAGGAGGTGGTGTACAAGGAGTGGGGGGGGACCAATTTTAACTCTAAAAAACATGTTTACAGTGCCCTGAGAATCACAACTTGACTTTTTTCCTTGACACAACTAAGTTTAGGAGACCTTAAATCACTTTTTTGAAGCTTTTGATTGATATATTCCTAAATAAAAATGAAAAGAGAAGGCAGCCTGTCTTTTATTGATTTAAACCCTCATTCTTGCTAAGACAAATGCATTAGGCCTTGCAGAAACCCCACAGATGATGTAAGAAAACTTGGCGATAGGCAATTTTCCTCCTCCTCAGCACAGGGTGTGTAAGTGTCATGGTTTAAGCCCAAACGGCAACTTGGAACCAACGACTGCTCCCCCTTCTTCCTCCCCTCGCTCCCAGAGGGATGGGGAGGAGATTCAGAAGAATGTAACTCCCACAGGTTGAGATAACAGCACTCCAGTAACTAAGGTATAATACAAACCACTACTGCTACCAGTAATAATGATAAGGGAAATAACAAGGGGAGAGGATACAATTGCTCACCACCCGCCGACTGATACCAAGCCCGACCTGAGCAGCAATCTGGGCCTTCCAGGTAACTCTCCCCAGTTTCTATACTGGGCATGACGTGCTGTGGTATGGAATACCCCTTTGGCCAGTTTGGGTCAGGTGTCCTGTCTCTGCTTCCTCCCGGCTTCCCCTCCTCCCTGGCAGAGCATGAGGCTGAGAAAGTCCTTGGTCAGAGTAAACATTACCGAGCAACAACTAAAAACATCGGTGTTATCAGTGTGCACCAGCTACTAAGACGGAGAAAAAATGACTGCTGTAGCTGAACCCAGGACAGTAAGGAAGTGCTTGGCTTTGAAAAAGTTGCAAGAAGAGATCAAGTCATATCAGGGCCACTCTGGTTTAAGAATATGGTGCCAAGCCCACCTGACAGAATTAAAGCATCGACAAAAAGGCAGAAAATCACTAAAATGAGATGAGAATAAGTTAGTGCAGGAGAGGAGACACTCCTGTGCTATAGGAGTCCCCAGACCTGGAGGTAGCTGGGACTGTGGTTTGCAGGCAGAATTCAGCCAGCTGCAGCCCTTTCTGCTTTTTGCTGAGATTCTCTGGTGAAATGTTCAGAAAATAAGGACTGAGGCAGTACAATGCACAGCAGCAGATCAAAACACAACAGGTATTGGCAAAGTCCCCTGTTACCAGCAGGCTTGATTCAAGGGCCTGAGATAACTCAGTAATTACAGTGCTTTCTATAATCTTTAATCTTAGTTTAGCCTTATGTTTTTAATTCACACAGTTTACAGAGATAGAAAAGCCCTGCCTCAGCACACTCTGTTCTGCCCAAGTCCAAAAACATGTACTCAAGAGCCAAGATTTTAACCTGGTTTTGTAAGAGACCGTGATGAGTCTGTCATGATGTGTTTATGTTTACACCTCATCTCCTGCCTGTTCTCCTACCTTCCTCCCTATGCTTAAATTTTATCCAAATGGCCAGGTTTGCCAGATTCGGGAATAGCCACAATGCCAGGACTGGGAACAACCGAAATACCAGATTCCTACAAGTGTTATGAGAAAAAAAAACCCAATCAGAAACCCATCCAACCAGGAAGAGGAGAGCAAATTTAGCGATGACTCTGGATGGAGACATGAGTAGAAATTCAACCTTCACAAGCCACTGGGGAAGTTGGCCATGGCCATGTGGATCCCTCTTCAGGCACAGAGCAACCATGGTTTGGTTCTTTCAAATTGGCAAAAATCAGGATCAGTTGCAAAAAGCTTTTAAGCTGGTGGCTCAGCAATGGGTTAAATCAGTCCTTTTCAGGTCACCTAAAAGTTGGGGTCTGCAGTGTGGATCCACACAGCCAGTGAGCCGCCGTGTCCTGCTGTGCCCAACCAGAGACATGGAACCCCCAAGCTTTCCAGAAGACAGGAACAATGGCTCTACCTGTCTGGGTGCCATGATGCATAATTGTATTCTTTTAATCTTGTCTTCTGTCAGCTATCAAGTCAATGATTAACCCTCCCCAAGGACATCTTCCAAAAGGCTGACCAAGCAGCACAGCCCACAGCAGAGAGCTTCAAGGGACAACTGCGCAAGACAAAACAAACAACAAAAGAAAAAAAAAGAAAAATCCCACTCACACCAAAAAAAAAAAAAAAAAATAAAAAAAAAAAAAAAAAAAAAAGAGAAGAAGAAAATAAGACATTTCTGCTGTATGTTTGACCTGAGCATGCCCCAGGGAACCTTAATTATTCCCTGCATCCCTTTGGTGCCAGGCACTGTACAAAGAGCTGAAGAGCCTCCCTTGGCCCTCTGCAGTCCCTGTGCCTATCCTGCAGGCCCGAAGCACCCTTTGCCTCCATTTTGCTCTATTTTCGCTTTAGCCAGCACACTGTGGGTTACACTGCAACCAGTACTGGGTGGTGCACATTCTGTTTGGCTTTTTGGGTGTCCTTGAAGACCCACCCAACACCCCGCAGAGCTCCATCAGCGTGACCAGGCTCCGTCTGCCTGTGGCTGCCTCAGCCCAAGGCAGGTGCCTGTGCTGGGGGAGCAGCAAGAGGGGACCCAGACCCCTAAAGCAGCTCAGGGGAAGGGCAAACCCTTTTCACACACATTTGGCTGTTGGTTTTCCCTCCTGCTTCCTTTTTCCTCCTCAGAAAGCAGTGCCAGCCACACCCACTGCCATTGCGAGGCAGAGTCAGCATCATGGACCCCTTCCAGGCATTTCAGAAGTTGGAGAAGATTGGGGAGGGCACCTATGGCGTGGTGTACAAGGCTCGCAACAAGTGCACGGGGCAGCTGGTGGCCCTCAAGAAGATC